AAAAAATCTGAACCTTGAAATCTTAACTCCATGATTAATAACAAAAATTTGTTGTCTCAGGAATATATCGATATTTTCAAGTTCAAATTAGAAAAAGTTCGTTTACTAAAAAAATTTTTTTTTTCCATATATTTTATATGGCCTGTTCTTATTAGGACCAGTGACCCTAATAATAATAAATTCAATTACTCGTAAAATACCGCTAATTAAAGGCTTAATTTACGAGATAATAAAATAATTTTTGCATCATTCGATGCAGCAAACATTTCTACAGCCAGAAATGTAAAAAAAAACTTTATAATTTTAAAAATTTGATCAGTAAAAAAGCAAATTACTGACACCTCTGAAAAGTCTGTTCTTATTGGCGACAGCGACTGTACTTGCCATGGGCCTCTTCAAACATTTGAATCAAGATTATGCTATTCACAGCGTATAGTTGAAAAGACTACAACCAAGTTTATATGCAATTTTCTTAAAATAAAATAAATGAAATGAATTTTTATTATTGAAATTTTACTTACATTTATTAAATGGAATAGAATTTTCATGACGATATTTTTCAATAATTTGTTTTAATTCATTTATTTGAGCTTTTGAAAATTTTCTTCAGAAAACAAATTATAGAATAAAATTAACTTTTTCAAAACACATAAAAAACTTACGTTTTATTTAAACGGGTATTTTCCAAAAACATGTAACGATGTGCACACATATATGATGAACGTAGAGGTTAAAATAGACAATAAATAAACATAAAATTGTAATTTAGACTAATATCTAGAACCATTTTTATATTTATGAGATCATCTGAATAAAAAATAAGCAATTATTCGTACCGTTCTTTTCTTTTGGAGTGCTACATATTTAGAAGAAATAGTAGATTTTCAGAAGTTAAAACTTTCTCTCCTATATATATGTTGGCGTCCAATCTCGGATTGGCACTTTGGACGAGTCCAATGTCGGATTGAGGAAGCAGGTTTCGTTAAAACTTTCACTAGTCCCTAAATAGAGGTTGAATTGAAATTCTTCATGAAAAACTGTGCTGAAACAATAGTATTGTAGGTAATGTAATCGTCGATGAAGAAATTAAAGCAGGATTCGGGAAGTTATGGATGAGTTTCTATAGAAGAGCAACTTTTATGGAAAATTATCCACAAGTGTTTGAGTTCAAACTTAGTTTCTTCATTGACGATTGCAATACCTGGCGTACCATTGTTTTGATACAGTTTACCAGCAAGGAGTCGAATTCAACGTCTCTTTAGGAACTAGTGAAGGTTTTAACGAAAAAATTTTTCCCAATCTGACATTGAACCAGTCCAAAGTGAGATTCGAGATTGAACGATAACATATATATGTGTTTGCAATACTTTACGTAACGCTGGTCGTTACCTACATGAAAATAAGGAACAAACTGTATCAAATTAATTTTATAGAATTAGACATTTACTATTTGGTGCAGTGATATCTTTATCAAATCGTTCATTCTTCATGGAAACAATTGAAACATATTGCAAGATGAATGAAAAAAAATTCTACTTTCAATCTCTCGCATTCTCCTTATAATATAAAACTTCTGTATTTTATAACTACTACCTTTTCTTCATCATAGACATGCATAATACGAAATTATCTTCTTAACATATTTTTCTTTACGATGAAAAATTATTTCGTCGGACTTCATAGTTAAATTACATGACGTTTTCGATAATTGTTTTTTTTTTTTCAATTAGATATTTCCTATGGATTTCCGTAAAAACTAAGTCCTAGTATGCCTGCTTGAAGATATAATGCTCTGTAGGTGTCTCTTTTCGTGTTAAGAACACTTTCAGATCTTTAGAAAAATCATTTGTTATAATAGTATCTATCCGTTATCCTTGAAATCTCTTCAATGTCTATATCTAGATGTTCATAAAGTAGATCAGAACTTAAAATAGTTTCCAGGATATTCCAATCTAAGACAATTTATGATCTTTTTTTTCATACAACTTGAATGCTTTATTCTTGAACATAACTTATATAAACTTACATTCTAAATATTATCACAGATAATAAGTAGACAAAAATGAGTTCGAAAATAACAAGCAGATAGAAAACGATGTCTGAAAGAAACACTTCAATAAGAAATATCGATAGAGTTTTGAATGTAGAAAATGCTCCTATCAAACATCAATATGAATTTATTATTATCATTTTCGTAGAGCTTTTCACGGCACATTTTTAAAAACTATTCACTATTTTATCAGTTACCTAAGTCAAGAGAGATGCAAAATAAAAATATGCTGCAATCACTTTGGTACACTTGATACTTGTTTTTAGCAGTGGGTTTATCCAACTATAATCAATTCGAATCTTTCTGTCAGAATTAAACAAAGATATATGTAAGGTCAATAGCTGACAATGGCAACGTCTAGCGACCTGTGGATATCAGCGATTGGTAGAGGAGACTTTGAAACATCTTTTTATCTGATACTATACAAGACAAAATCATTTAAAAGAATCAATCATGTCTACAAAATATACAAAAAAAAAATACATGAAAAAGGTATAAGTGATCAGTGGCGTAGTCATAAATTTTTGAGGAAGAAGCAGTTGCTCAGCGAAAATATTTTCAGGAATGGGAAGCAATGGTCAATTGAAAACCAGTTAGGCAATGGTTTTTTAAAATTTATCATCATTATAAAAATTGGTGTTTATAGAAGAGAAATTCGTCACCCTCAACTAACAGGCGAGTGAGCTCGCTTTCTTTGTAATATCTCATAAATGTACTCTTCAATTTTCAAATATTTGGTTATTTTATACCAAAAAGGTTGTTAGCGTAACCTATTTGGAACTGAAATGTGAAACTCGCATATCTTAGCTTCATTATGCTAATAAAGAAATACATAAAGAGAGAAATCTCTAACAGACAATAATTGTTGTTCAAAGATGCTTGATCGTCAGAGAACCATTTTTCTTATTTATTTCTGTATTTCGAACATAAAGTTAATGAAGGTAGACTTGAAATATACGAAAAATCATAATACTTAATAATAAATTTGAAAATGCAGTTTAATTTTATTTTTATTAGGCTTAATGTGGGATTTTTGATCATTTTTCAATTAGTACGGTAATCATCAGCATTGTAAGACATCACTTGTGACCTTACTCCCTGAAATGTGATTTGATTTTATACAACAATAACAAGTATTATACGAAAAACAACAAAACTAAGATGTTTTAACCATATACAACCATAACTAGCTGGAAAAACTATATCACAACCAATTTGACATAATAACAAAATAAACATAAACTTGAGTAAGATATAAATGCATATCTTATTGTGACAAAAAGAATAATTTTCAAGTATATAATTCTGCAATAATAAATAATAAGTGTCAAATTAGTTGTGATATAGTTTCTCCAGCTAGTTATGGTTGTATATGGTTAAAACATCTTAGTTTTGTTGTTTTTCGTATAATACTTGTTATTGCTGTATAAAATCAAATCAAATTTCAGGGAGTAAGATTACAAGTGATGTCTTACAGTGCTGATGATTACCGTACTAATTGAAAAATGGTCGAAAATTTCACATTAAGCCTAGTAAAATTAAAATTAAACTATATTTTCAAATTTATTATTAAATATTATGAATATAAAGTTTTTTCTGTTACTGGCGCTCTATTTTTTGTCTTCTTGCTATTCTCTTGTTATTTATTTTATTGTTTTTTTTTTATTTCAGTTAGCTTTATTCTTGTTCTTGTAACCATTGATTTAACTAACAAATCAGCCTATTGTACATATTCATTTTATTCACAGCAGATCTCAGCGCGCTATTATGTATCCTAGTATCACAGAAACACTGATATTGATTAGTTCCGAAAGTTAGAACTTAATCAGTTCATGCTTATTGTGTTGTATACATTCTTTTTCATATGTTCATTCAAAACGCCCAAGTCTATCACACGTAAAACTTGCATGTTGACGTTAATGTACTCATTATGGTACGACTCTCTTGCGAATACAGTCACTTTTTTTTACCCATATACTTGCTACTTCTTAAATATGAAATACAATAGACCTCAATTGAATCTCTTCCGTTTGTTTTTATTAATTTTTATTATCGTGCATCATTTATTTTTTAACATGTAATATATCGCGAGAAAGTGCAGAACGCGCTGTATCTTCTAGTCTATTCATCTTGACTAACATATGAAGTGTAAAGCAAAAAATATATATTAGAAAAGAAAATGATGTTTTTTTTTCTATTACAATGTATATTCACATCTGGATCGTAATTAAGAAAATTTTTAGACTTATCATTATGATCGGTCATAATACACATGAAGTCTATTTATATATGATAATATATTCACAACATGCATTGTTAATATCTTCTATTGAAAATTACTCAAGGTCTGTTATTGATAGTCACGATTCTCAATGATTTCCGACTGAATATGTTACAGACTGATCTCATGAATTTGTTTTATTTTTATATGTAATACACATATGTGATTGCAAAAACCATCCAGATGTTGGTAAATAGACAAGAAAGAGAATGAGACATAAAAATATATAAAACAGAAGATGAAATCAATGCATAACTTCTTTCTAGGAGTTATACTTATCATGTCAATAAAATACGATGACAGTTTCAGCTATTATATTTCTTCTATTTAATAAATGTACGAGATGACATTATTTGATAGCATACATAATTGTTTTATTCCGTAAGTTATCGATAAAGAAAAGATTTTTAAAATTTCTAGACGAAAAAGAAATTGTAAATAAAAAGTAAAAAATAAACTGCAAGTTAATATAATTAAATTCTTGAGTAAAAGAAAAGTTAGCTTCGTTGAATGGCTATAGTTTGCTTGGCATCAATAAGTCTGGCCAATTTGAAAGCAAATTTTACAATAACAATCTGCAAAATAAAAATAAAAAAATATTGCATCAATTGAAAAGAACGAAATAAACTACTTACTGTAAGAATAAAAGCAACTATTACAACAACAGCAACGATGAAGAATAGTAATGATGCACCAATCATAAGAGCTTTGCTCATATGATCATCATTTGTGCTTCCGGCAGTTACAGCTGCAACACCAATAAATAAGAAAACAATAATTGTAATAGCAAGAACAATAAGTGAAATTATGCCCAGCCAAGCAAACTAAAGGCAAAAAAATGAAAATATCAGTTTTAATGCAAACATTTTATTAAAAGAGAATTAATTCAACTTATTGTTAAGACTTTTTTAAACCATGAGAATGTGAGTTTTAAATTGATGAGTTTTGTGGATGTTTTCAATATCGAAAAATAAACAAAGATTTTTTCATAGAAATGTTTTTGTTGAATATAATTTCGATTCAAGTTTGCATTATAATATATATGTGTACAAATAGTTTTTTTTTTGTCAAATTTATTTATCAAGCAAAAATATAGAGGTTGATGAAGATATGTCACAAGAGAAATTCATTCACCAATTGAATGTCTATTGTATCTTATTTCGGATGAAATATTGCGAATTATTCCATTTTATTTTTTTATGAAATTTCCGGCAAGTTTTTAAATACTATTGTAGATCCTTAAATAATGAGTATCATCTCAATGTAATACATTTGAAGTACATCAGTCAATTGTCTCATTCAATTTTAGATGAATATCGATTTTTCTAATAGAAAACATTGAATAGTCTCAATAAAATAAAATTAACTAGAAAAATTATCTTTTCATTCGAATGATTGAAACATTAAATTTCTAATAAAACTAAAATGAATTCAAATGTAGTATTTCATTTGAATATATTTATGAAAGAGACTTCTTAAATACGTTCAGGAAAATAACTCATATGAATAGAAAAATTAAACTTAAAACAAAATGAATTTGTTTCAAAAATTTTTATACGAGTTGTATATTTATAAAAAACTGAAATAAGAGATAATTCTTACCACTCGTAAACCTGTTTGAGAGTAACGATAAGCAACGATTATTCCAAAGCTATAGAAAGCTATTGAAATAATACTTTGACTCAATTGCACGCCTAGTTGAGCGTCATTTGTACGATGCCGAGAAATGTATCCAGATATTGCATGAACCGTACTAATCAAACAGAGAGCCTGAAAGATGAATATATAATATTAATGTAAAATAGATTCTTTGAATATATATATATATATGGATCAATGTTGGATTAAATTATCTTTAGATTAATAGAAAATGAGTTAATATTCATGCTCATTTCAGCGCATGGAAATCATTTTGCATTTATTTGAATAAATTTCTTCTTTTATCTCAAATTACGTTAGATCTCAGTTTGAGAATACTTGTCTGAGTTTTTTTTTTGTTGTTGTTGTTGTTAATGTTGAAACAAGACGATTAATGTATTTCTTTTCTTTTGTATAAATATATATTCTCAACATTTTTTATTATTATAAAACTCTATATATGATTGATTCATTTTCATATTAGTATGAAAATTTGTTTTTTTTTGTTCATGTAATATACATTTTCTAATTCATATAGATTTTAAATAAAAGAAAAAAAAAAGTCATGTGTTTTTGTCATTATTGTTGAATCATAATCATAAAAAAATAACAACTTACGAGACACACGCCAAGTATAATCAGAAGGACTCTACGAGCTCGTTGTACTTCACGATCGTGAGTCACTGGTAATGGTTTAGAAACAGGTGTGATGCTAGGAGCACCTATCATATTCACTTTTTCGCTTCCTTGTTCGTATTGCATTTCGATGATGCGCACTTTACTCTTCAGTGTAAGCTCGAATGAATACAGAGATAAAGTTATAGTGACAACGAGATAAAAATAAGAAACGAAGCTTTCTCGTTCTTCCGATCGGTTACATATTGTATAGAGCAGCGGGAGAAAAGTCTGTACTCATTACATCAGTGCATTTCTGTGCACAAAAGCAACAAAAAAAAAAAAGAATCGAAGTAATGGGTATTACTCTTTATAGAAATCAATAAGCAATCAACCATTATCAGCATCATTAGATAAATCTAACGTTTATCATACTGAGAAAAACAAAAAGCATGTTACTTGAATTTCAATCATTTCATGAAAAGATTGGAAACTTTTTGTTTTTCTTTATCTTAATACAGCATACTTTGTTCTTGAAACATATTCCATTGGTTTATAGAAATGAATAAATAATTACAAAAAAGAAATATACGAAATAGTGATAATTATTGATTTTTACTGCATATATTTCATTATAGTGCGGTTGACCTAGTATTATTTTTTCCCCTAAGTAACAATCTTCAAATAATGAATTAGAAGGATTTGATTCCTAACAGAATGGATGAATTAAAAATGAATCAAGCAAAATGATTGCTGTAATATTTGAAACACATTTAAACTATTCTTTCCAGATGATTTAATTTTTAATGCATCAATCTAATTACTGAATAATGAAACATATATTAATAAATAGACAGATAAATGAAAATGATTTGGTTCGAATATGTTGAGTATTTCGAAATAGCCTACTAAATTCATTGAACCCTGAAGATGAAATATACGAAATCCGTATACTCTGGAAAGTGACTCTATACTGTAATATGAGAAATACGACTGTTTTACGGCACAACAGGGAGTTAAAGGGAGTCTGTATATAAACTCAGTCAACGATCGTATTTCTTCTTATGCAATATAGAGAAATACGATCGTAATATAGAACTATGTAATACGTCAAAATACGACGATTTACAGTCATTTATGAGTGTGCTTGTTCGACCTGAGTGTTATTATGAGAAAGAATACTGATTTTAAACAGAAATAAAACTATTTTATTTCTCTAGTATGTTTGAAGTCATTGATATTTCTTCGACTAGCCAAGTTTTCGCTCGAATGAGCTTTGGAGTATAGCTGTCAGTACTCTTACTTTAATTAACAGATGGCGTTTGTCATAAAGAAATTGTCTTTGTATATTTATTCACACATGAAATTAATTGGAGACTAGTATTTTTGCTAAGACGTAAAAAATTTGTCGGAATTACACATAAGTGTTTTAACAATTGTTATGATATTACACATCGATAGTTTAATGATCGATTAGATTTTATTAATCAACTCAGACTTAACATATAGAATTTAGATTGTATTATTATATTCATAAAACAAAATTGCCTTTATCGTACAAAATCTTCAAATCATGATTATAAGACTTTGCTTTTAATAGTTCATTATTACACCGATGCTAATTAATAGGAAGTAAAGGGAAAAAAAATTGACTGACTATCAAAAGTTTTGCAACTTTCTTTTTTCTGTAAATATTTAAGAAAAGAAATACTCTCTGTCTGAGTGCTTATAATAATAAAAAACCATTGTTTTATTTTTGCTCTATTCGATTTTTTCTTCCATAAAGTTGTTTTATAAAGCTTTATTTTGGTTTTCGATGAGATTAAAAAAATGAATGTTAAAAAAAAAAAATTTGTTTTTTATATCTATTATAGATCTACTCAAGATTTAAAACAGTTGACTTATACTCTCAAAAGAGCGCATAAAACATATACAATAAATATTGCATTAATGAATTTGAATTGTTTTATAGAATATTTACAACTTTTTTAATACTTTTTTGTATTGATAACAGTAATAAAGACATCGTTTTCATTTATTGATGAAAATGATTTGATACAGAAAGAAAGAAACCAAAAACTGGTCAGAATCAAAATTAAATAATGGAAACAAACTGGAAAGAAGATCTAATTATGTCAATTAATGCTAATTCAAAAGTAGCAATAAAATATATACTATATTTACAACGAAATACCTAGTCAGACAAGATTCTTAAGAAAATGCGTAAAATTTTCGTAGATTTATGTATTTCTACCTGTTCACACCGCAAACATCAAGAGTTTCATCTCTTTCAAGGGTGAAACACGTACTAACGCGGAAAAATCAGTTAAGAAGACATATTTTTAGGTGTATTTTTCTGAACGGTTTAATTGTGTTCAACAATCATTCTTTATATCCCGTTTCTTTAAGCAATTCGAATAAATTTCTTATTGTTGTTTTGATTATTGATAGCACTCTGTTTCATATAGAAATATGAAAATCAGTGAAAGCATGCATAAAAGTGATACATTTTCAATTGATAGTAGTAGTTTTTACATACTGAACAATACTTCTTGTTTCATTTTTTTTGCCATTTTCTCTGTTCACAAACATATAAAATTTTCAGTCAAATTTCATCTCAATTTCCTGATCTAAACTGTAATAAGTATTGATTAAATAGATTCCACAGCCTTTGAATTAGAAAATCTCGATATTTGGTTTTCAGCCAAGTTTGCCAAAGTTAGTTGTCATCTGAATTAACGAATCAGGATATGTAGAAGAGTAATAAATCATTAAATCTACATTTATTTATAACTGTACTGTTAATCATCTAAGCGAAACATCAAAGACCCGCTATACCAATACTAGAACTCTATCTATGTGTCGACAAAAAGGGAGTAAAACATTGGCAGCTCTTGATACTGCACAATACTAGAAAACCCTACTCGATATGTGGAAACAGAAATAGTCATGAAAACATGTGTGCATGTATCTGTTTCCTCTAAAATTATCAGTCTTAGAATAAATCACTAGAATTCAACTACAACCAGTTTTCTCTCATGCCTATTCAAACCTACTATTAGTTGCTGCTCAAGGACGTCCACCTGGAAGGTTGCTCTCTTTTTCAACGGTAAAGTTAATTATAACAGTAGCCGTAGAGGTTTTCATATTATATAACAGGGGACATATCTGATAATGAAGTGCTCAAAGTGAATGCAAAGACTGAAGTGTTTAAAGACAGTACAAGAAATATCTGTTGCGCTTATCAAAGTAATGTCGAATAGTTCAATAGTGTTATGTATATCTTGTTTAGTGACATCATTATCTGGTTACAATAATTTTATCTTTAAAACATTGGAAAAATCGAACTCTACTCTTTTTGCCTTACATTAAGAGAAAATTCGATTGATAAATTAGAAGTGTGATATAACTAAATAACATAAAAAAGAAACCTGTGTACAAAAATGAGGCGCTTTGAACTGATCAGCTTCATATGGAATGTGTTAGGACATAGGATGATATCATGCGCTACATATTTATATAAAGTTTGTGAACACTTTGCATTGTGACTCAGTATCACACAATAGTGACTTCAAAGAAACGTGAACTCTTGAAAAGATCATCACCAAGCTTCTCGAACAGCAACCAACATGAACTTTGTAAAAAAAGCTAGATCAGGGGAATGCGTTACTTGAAGATGAAAAGTCGCCTATGAATGAATGTTCCTCTGAAACGTATTTACCAGTTAATTGTGATATGAGAAAACTTATCTATAGGTATTTTCGCAGTGTTTCAATTGCAACATTTGATATATCACTGAAAAAATTCATTGTAAGTGAATTCAACGACTGGATTACAATATATTTTTTTGACCGGTTTAAATGACAATAACGACAAAACAGAACATTTGAAATCACAATCTACAACATCAAAATAGTTCGTTTTCATAAGTGATAGCTGATTGCTATTGGCTCATTTCTGTGCTAATGTTATCGTATTAGGATATATTGCTGTCGGACGAAAACGGTTTGTCATTGATATTGGATTGACTCGAATACCACCATTGATACGTAAGATTTTATATGCAAGTTGAAGGAATACTTCTCTATAAATGCGAGCCGATAGAATGAAGAGAAAAATGGGTGTTACATAAGAAAAAGTGAAGGCAAAATTAGCGATGGCAAAGCCAAAGAAAAAGCTGGATGAAGGTTGGTATCCTGTCGGCAACACTATAATGAGATACATAACACATAGAGGCATGTTAAGAACAACGTAAGTAACCACTTGAACAAGGAGCATGCGAATAAGTTGACCTTCCGTACGACGATATGATGCTTTGACTGTCGGAATAAATCGCATTTCTTTTGTATTAAAGATCGTTAACACTCCGAACAATGTCATGAGACATGGTGCAACAACATTGAAGAGAATAACTTGTAGAATGACATATATTTGATTGTAGACAAATATTGTTCGAATGCTACATCCACGATAATCATCAAAGCGTAAATCACACAATACAAGAGTATTGACATGAAATAGTGCCCATAATATAATCATGAACAAAATTGCCCATCGAGCAACAATTGGATTACTCCAATTTCGTAGTTGAGGATTTATTGAACTCGCACAAAATCGATCGAATGATGCGAGAACAATAAAGTAAGGTGACATGAGTGCCAATATACTCGAGGTATAAGTGAGAAATTTACACCAAAAAAGTGAACTATTTTGTGGATATATTTGAAAAGCACTGATCAGTAAAGAATACATAAGGAAGGCGCAATAGAATAGATTATTGAAGCCTAATGCGAGAAAATAGCGGGAACACGGATGATGTCTCAAAGCAGGCCGAGTGAGTATAATAATATTGAGAGTGTTTCCTACAACACCGACAATAATGATAATAGGCAAAATGATTTTTGATAGTGTTATTGCCAGTGTTACGAGTGAATCAGCCATGATATCTCTTCTTCAGATTGAGTTGAATAATAATAGGATGTATGCAAGGAAGTTATTTTTTGAATTGTAACTATAGTTTGTAGAATTGAAGATTCCGAAGTAAGTAATAAGATGTATTATCAATTATCAAATCTGATCTACTTTCATTCCATTTTTATATTCACGTAAAAGAAGGATTAAAAAAAAAGAATTTTGACTGTTCTATTAATAATGATAATATTCTGTCAAAAAAAGTTCCAGCAGTTGCATATATACCTTTTCAACTTTTAAGTTCCCGGGCAAATTCATTAATATAAAATTTATATTCGCCCTACAAATCTGTCATCTCCATTCAACTGACGTAGTGTCCACGTTCAATTTCGCTTCAGATTCATTTCATTCAGTATAGTTTGTATACTGGATGCAAATATGATCACTTTGATTGATGGTCATTCGTTTCATTAGAATCGAAATATTAGTTTCTACTAACTATGTGAAATTGGTTATAAAAATATGAGCCAGTTTTAGTAAACAATGATTGACTCTATTCAATTTAAGATAGTTTATTTCGAGAAAAAGTCTTTATAAATTTTTGACAGAAGTTTTTTTTTGGAGAATATGAAAACAATGATTTTAATGAATTGTTTTTAATCAGAAGTCTTAAAATTGCAATCACTCAACAACGTTCACCATGATGACTCAATATTTCAAGAACGGCTCAACTGATTACACTAAAAGTTTTCTTCAATATGCATATGAATGAGTTAAAACGGTTAAATATTTGATTCTTTGCATGAATTGGACTTATACATGCAAAAAATCATTATTTTGGCTAAACTGGATGGTTTATATGTCGGAATCAAAAGGAGATAAATGTCTCATATTTTTTCTGTAGACAAAACTAAATGGGTTTAATGTTGACTGAAATTTCCAGCTTCATAGCGTTACATGTTTACTCATAGGTGGCATTTTGATAATAAGATGATTCTAAAAAAAAATGTCGATTTTCTCTCCCAGCGAGATCTACTTTAATAAGATAAAATTTCAGTGTATGTATTTTGGCGTTCACATTCATATCCTCCATTCAATTATTCATTGCTAAAGAAATTGAACAAAAAAAAAGAGATTACCGTCAATTGCGATCCATCGAATCATATGATAGTAACGGTCATTGCATACAAAAAAAAAACCTTCAATAATCAAATCACAATAGACAAAAAAACATTACAAATGAGAATTGATTTAGATTTGTTCATCTAGCTTTGTCAATATACATAATTGAAATAATTCGCTTAACAAATTGAAAAAGTAGATTATGACTTATATCTTTTCGGCACAATACCAACATTAAATACATGACGTATGCAAGTATGATGAGTATAATATAAGCTACCACTTGAACATGGAGCATGCGAACAATTGGACTTTTGGTTCAATGATGTCGACGTTTAAAGCGAGAAAATGCATGATCACACAAGGTAGATAGAGCGGACATAGTAATGTTGAGAGAATTACTGATAACACCCAAAACGGTGATGATCGGTTTGATAATTTGTGATAGTTGTGTAGAAAGATCTACGAGAATGTCATCCATGATTGTTTTTAATATTCAAGTGTAGCTTTAATAGTTTTAACTTCTGCGAAATATTCTTCTTGTTTATATAATAACAATTTTGCACAACTCAGTATCTGAAAGTAGTAATTTTGACTGAAATCATTCATTATGAATGTCATGTTTGAGTATTCGAATAGAATACACTGACGACTTGAGATTAGAGCTTTCATCTCTTTTCAAAAGACATTATGAGAAATGAAAAGTAGAAGATAATCCTAAGTTTCACATTGTTCTAAATGCCAACTTTCTTTCAAATCAAAATCATCTATCGTTTCTAAAAATTTCAGTACTTTGCAGTATCTCATACGAGCTCAAAGATAATGTTGACGTTTAATAGTGATTTTAAACCATCTTAGAAGAATGCGAAACGATTTATTTGACTTAGACAAATACAAATGATTGAGATCAAGTCTTCAATGGTTGATTGTAGAAAATTTGAGTTCGCATATTTTAGAAAATGAATAGTTTCAAACCTCTCAAATACTGTATCTGTGTGCTTGTTTTTAAAATACATTTTTTACAGCCACTTTCTGCTTGATGGTGCATGGTATGATTTTTACTTTCTGTATTTCTAGGACTTTTTCTTATTGTGTTTCTTTTTCAAGTGTCTCTTAAGATTGGTTAATAGTTGGACGTCTGTGATGTTTTAATTGACTTGTGTATTGCACCGATCCAATTCGACAGTGTGTGAATATGAAGTTGTCCCTTTCTCTTTCTATATGTATAGCAGTTTTAGAAAAAAGAATTAGAGT